TACGTGTGATTATACATTTCCCGGTAAAATCTCGATATCGGGTGTTGACATATCATCGGCACGCACGTGTACTATTGTTTACCAGGGGCCTGTTCGTTTATGCGGAGCAACCGGTTTGACCGTTTATAAATGTAACAATTTCGGGTATAAATCCTGGCGGACCTGCAAATGTGTATGAAGGCCTTGCGAGGCTTTCTCACGGCTCGCCTGAAAGCAGCATCAGATTACTAGGTCCGACCTTATTTAACAAATGAACAACAGTGGTCCGATCGGTTTGACCGTTTAAACGAAAACGGCCAAGGTGTTACTATAATTTGCACTACGATATTGAATGCCCGATACGCAATATGGAAATGACGACACGGTGTACATGCACATTTTGATCAAGATAGTTGAGTCCGAGCTGTACTTTTTCCGGAAGTACGTCACGAAAATGGACGCTGATGACGATGTGTCGAGCCACCTTAAGGACACTGCGGTAGGAATATATATACACTCAATGTCCTTTCTGCTGTTTAAGGACACTGCGGTAGGAATATATATACACTCATTGTCCTTTCTGCTGTTTAAGGACACTGCGGTAGGAATATATATACACTCAATGTCCTTTCTGCTGTCATTGTGATTCCAGTGAGTTAGACATAACAAATACAATGATCCTAAAACGCCACAGACAATAACAATTGTAAAGTAGATATTCACCCCTATATCAGTATAATGGAATAGTAGAAGGACATCTACATTTGAACTTCACATAAAGTCGTATTTCGCTAGCATAAATGATCTTTTATGACACAAAATGTTGAACCTCAAGTTTAAACTTTCTTGAATATCAAGCTATTTGATTGTAAAACTACTGATTAAATCACAACAGCCATGATCACTGATGCATGATATTACATTTGTAACATAAAGTGTTATCTTTCTTTGCTTCATGAGAGGGGTGTGGGGGTGTTGGGGTGTGGGGTGGTGGTAGTGGTGGCAGGTTGGAGGTGTCTAATCTTTAACCGTAAAAAATGGTTCGGTTTTTGGTAATATAAACATTTCTACATTTCTCAATTATTTCTTAACCATTCATAACTGACAAACCTTTCCTCAGAGCTGAATCTTTAAGAAAGGAAATAGAATAGGCTCAAATAGGTAACATGGTCTTATAGCACTGAAGTTATCAGAACATTTTTGTAAAAACATTGGCAATACAAGAAATATGATTTTTAAATTTATCAATTTTATAGTGGAAACATGTAAAGCTGGTCTCCAGAACTAAACTGAAAACACTGGGTCCAACAACTTTCTTCCATTTTAGTAACAGCATACATGTAAGAATGTCTACCTTGATGTAAATAAATAAACTAGTGCTGCATCGGATGTTTGTTGAGAACAGGTGCATTTTTATGTTAATTATTGTGTAATTCACTCCCATGCACTGAAGTGCACCAGTTCCGTTTGCGCTTGATGAAAACTAAGTACACTATCAAATCAAGAATTTATGGGGTAGAAATATTGAATAATGCTAGCTTCCTGGAGTGATAGATCAACACTTCTGATCAGGAAATCTCACAGCAGATCAGATCAAAGTGTCTGACAGTCTTCCCTCAAAACAGGCTATGGCATTGAGGTACACCCCCGTTAAAACAGGCTATGGCATTGAGGTACAGCCCCATTAAAACAGGCTATGACATTGAGGTACAGCCCCGTTAAAACAGGCTATGGCATTGAGGTACAGCCCCGTTAAAACAGGCTATGCACATTGAAGTACAGCCCCATTAAAACAGGCTATGGCATTGAGGTACAGCCCCGTTAAAACAGGCTATGGCATTGAGGTACAGCCCCGTTAAAACAGGCTATGGCATTGAGATACAGCCCCGTTAAAACAGGCTATGTTTTACGGGTTATGAACATACAGGGTACAAGTACATCTGGAAAGATAAAGCTCTAAGCACTAACTCGCATCTGCTTTCATCAGTGATTTTATGGAATATGCTATTTATATCAAAGAGCTAAATATAAATTATAAAAGTTGATATCAATCAATATTGAAAAGTGTTTTGTATGAAACCTCATTACATGAGTCTCGCGGAAAGGAAACAAATCTAACCACATCTGAATATACATCAAAATTCTAGTAATTCGTTTTTTAAATCTGTGAACATCAAGCAAGAAGATAAAAATTGAAGCACAGGTAAATGGATGGTAAATTACATCCTTCTAAGTGATATATAAGAAAGAAATAAAAAAAAATCCTAGATAGGCAAAGCATTTCCACTTTCCCTAGTTTAACTCATTCACCCCTACATATCTAAACTGGACTTGCCCAGTCTGCTTTGATTTGGTAAGGTTTAAATGTGACTTTAGGGGTGCATGGGTTAATTAAAGTGCCTACCTTAAATAAAGTACTGTATTAAAATCTGAAACACTGCTTCAATGTATAAAAAAATAATTACAGAACAAATAGCTTTTCCCACCTATCTTAAGTTATTGTGAGCTGAAAGCAGCAACATAATCATTTTGTTGACCTTTTCAAAATGTTCTGTTCCGAATTTTTGAATTCTTAGGAGTTTTCCTTTTGCATTGGTTTTGCATGTTAGACAAATACCGACTGTATCAGTTCATGTTAGGCAAATACCGACTGTATCAGTTCATGTTATACAAATACCGACTGTATCAGTTCATGTGAGACAAATACCGACTGTATCAGTTCATGTTACACAAATACCGACTGTATCAGTTCATGTTATACAAATACCGACTGTATCAGTTCATGTTACACAAATACCGACTGTATCAGTTCATGTTAGGCAAATACCGACTGTATCAGTTCATGTGAGACAAATACCGACTGTATCAGTTCAGGTTAGACAAATACCGACTGTATCAGATCATGTTAGACAAATACCGACTGTACCAGTTCATGTTAGACAAATACCGACGGTATCATTTCATGTTAGACAAATACCGACTGTACCAGTTCATGTTAGACAAATACCGACTGTACCAGTTCATGTTAGACAAATACCGACGGTATCATTTCATGTTAGACAAATACCGACTGTATAAGTTCATGTTAGACAAATACCGACTTTATCAGTTCATGTTAGACAACTACCGGCTTTATCAGTTCATGTTAGACAAATACCGACTCTATCAGTTCATGTTAGACAAATACCGACGGTATCATTTCATGTTAGACAAATACCGACTGTACCAGTTCATGTTAGACAAATACCGACGGTATCATTTCATGTTAGACAAATACCGACTGTATCTGATCATGTTAGACAAATACCGACTGTACCAGTTCATGTTAGACAAATACCGACTCTATCAGTTCATGTTAGACAAATACCTACTGTATCAGTTCATGTTAGACAAAGACCGACTGTATCAGTTCATGTTAGAAAAATACCGACTGTATCAGTTCATTTTAGACAAATACCGACTGTATCAGTTTATGTTAGACAAATACCGACTGTATCATTTCATGTTAGACAAATCCCGACTGTATCAGTTCATGTTAGACAAATAACGACTGTATCAGTTCATGTTAGACAAAGACCGACTGTATCAGTTCATGTTAGAAACATAACGACTGTATCAGTTCATGTTAGACACATACCGACTGTATCAGTTCATGTTACACAAATACCGACTGTATCAGTTCATGTTAGGCAAATACCGACTGTATCAGTTCATGTGAGACAAATACCGACTGTATCAGTTCATGTGAGACAAATACCGACTGTATCAGTTCAGGTTAGACAAATACCGACTGTATCAGTTAATGTTAGACAAATACCGACTGTATCATTTCATGTTACAAAAATACCGACTGTATCAGTTCATTTTAGACAAATACCGACTGTATCAGTTCAGGTTAGACAAATACCGACTGTATCAGTTCATGTTAGACAAATACCGACTGTATCAGTTCATGTTAAGTGAAAACAACATGTAGGGAAAAGTAAAAATACACGGTCTGTTGTTGGTGGAAAATGAGCTAAGATGTCCAACTCCTTATGTTTCTGTGCCTTTAGTGCACTTATTACGTCAAATATAGAAAAACATTTTTTTCTCTAATTTACATGTAAATGAGTATGACTACTTGTACACAAACTTGCTTTTTATTTCTAAAAAAATTGCTCAAATATCTGTAATGGACATTCATTGAAATTCCACACATATAATTCTGTCATGACTGCAGCAAAAAATACATCTATCTATACACTAAATAAAAAAAATACACAGTCGATTACTTCGACTACATGTTTATCGATGCAATTCAGTTATTTTGCTCACAATTTCATTCAACCGAATCCGAACAGACATCTGCAACCTTCATTTCACAGCTGGGAAATGGACCTGTCTGATCTTGAAAGAAAGTAGTGAGATTAAGGTTAAAGATGAAACTGTGAGCTAAGTACATTGTATCTTTGAAATAGGAATGTGTAATTATAAAAGGAAAAGTGTAAACTTGCCTTTAAAGAGTGGGCAGATCCTCCAGATAGTGATGGGACTAAGGCTGACAAACTGTCCGAATATCACCTCCATAAAAAACAGCGGAATCCCACACAGCACCAGAAATATGGTGTAGGGGATGAGGAAGGCCCCTGTAATAGTTTACAAATAAACCATTAAGAACTCTCAAAGATACATGCAGTGATGTCTTCCTTTACAATTTAAAGATTATGTATGTCAAATTATTATTTTATTTCACATATGTCTTGTTACTTATATATATTGCTGATTTTCATGCCTCTTTTATTTACCATATTTAAAACTGTCACTGTAGGAATACTATTCATGTGTTAGAATACGTCTTAGTGTTAATTTGCAAATTATATAAGGCACTGCACAAATGTTGTATATTATTTTTTTATCAATATCACTGAATCCTTCTAAATCAAATTTTCATACCAGCCCATGTTAACACTCACTTGATAGAAGTTGTCTTTGTATTGAATCAACATCATTATATCTCTCCTTAATTATTAAACCAAAAGACAAGCCCCTGGCAGATTCTGCTACGTTTATGATATAAATGTAAATACTTCACCAAAATCACATAACTCCATATAGTGCTGCTGTTGGTATGGACTTAAGGAAGCTTCTATTAAGACTTGATAGAATTTTTGATAAAATTAACAAAAGACGTTTACGTTATCCGACTTACGAAATGAAAAACTAACTTGGTATACATACCACCTCCATTTTTGTAGCAGAGGTAGGGAAACCTCCAGATATTTCCTAGACCTATGGCATACCCAATACAAGACAAAAGGAAGTCAAGGCGTCCTGACCAATTACCACGCGAGGTCTCATCCGAACTTCCCGCACTGCTGCTGCGACTTGACGAGTCATTGGAAGACTGCTCCAAGGCTTTCTGTAATTACAAAACACAAATTTCACTGAGCTTTTTTGTCGCATAGAAAAATTCGTCACATCTTAGATAATTGTGGATTGGAGGGCAATACAAGGTCATATAACATCGTACTGCAAAAGCAGATTTTTTTCTCGATTATCTAATACTCACTAATTATATAAACCATAAAATTTGGATCCCGGCCCCACAAACAAATTGACATACTATGAAATATGTTGCAGGAGATTGACGAACTTTCCACATCATCTACAGTTTGTAAAAATACAATGCGAAAATGTCTACTCTTACAGTATGAACCTGTTACACTATTTGCAGGCTGGGACATATATATGTCATTTCTGAAACAAGCAAACACTCAAGCATTATAAATATTAATTGTACTTACTAAGGCTGAGTACACATCTTATATGGATGTGTTGTAATGCGTGCGGGTGTGCGACGTGTAGGCATATAGTATGCAAGTCTGTATAAGCTATTACTCGCAAGATTCATGCAAGTCACTGCTATGTACACAAGCCATTCGGATTGATATGTCTTGCCTATGCCCTGCTTTGACCATCAATGCAAATATCATAGAAACTAACTTAAATGCAAAAACTTAATGTTGATGGAGGTGCTGACAAAGTCAATGGACCATGAAAGGTAGGTCGCATCCAGCATTTGATGCTTGGGTTGAGATGTCCTACCTAAGATGCATCTATGGTCAAAGTTTGGTTGGTATAGCACTTTTACTTTCAGAGAAACTAACTTAAATGCAAAAACCGAAAACCAAGTCTCGCCTCCACTTTGTGGTGGTAAGACAAAAACGATGTTCTTACCCAGACAGTTTCGCTGACATTCTGCCAGCTTGGTCACTACACTATGTTCCTGCTAAATGAACCTTTTCAGTGATATATTTAATTATTATTCGTTACCCGAAGTCATTAATCTACTCTCTGAATGTTTGTGTAATACTACCATCAATAGTTTCATTCTAGAATCTATATCCCTTTATATATATACATAATTGTCTATGATATCTACTATTTACCTTATTCACTCTGACTTGTATACACATGTATCTGTTACCTATTGGAGAGGACTTATGTATTTGTTATCTAAACAATAAGATTTGTTGAGTTAATTGTACTTGCATATGTGTATATGCAGTCATGGTCGTTTTGATATCACGGTAGCTGTTCTTGTGTGGACGTTAAACCCCAAACAAACAGACAATGTATGCAGTCACTGGTATTGTTTCCAGCAGATCTATACAAGTGTGTTCAACATTATACAAATATGGACTTCAGGTGAGGACTATCCCTGATCAGGGATAAACTGAAACCGAAGTCCACAATTGTTTTATTATATGACATTTTACAATGAGATTAATAATGCTTTATGTCATAAACACAGAGTGAAGTACTTCAAATACAAAATAACATACACAAAAATTTGAATTTCAGATTCAATTCATTTGATTTTTATTTTCAAGTAAATATTATTTGCACAATCGACATCATCAATAATTATATAGTTCAGAACTTGATGAGATAATTCATTTGTAGTTGAATTCAGTAGTGTGATTGGTAACAGAATTACAGACTAGCTGGGAAATTACCTAGGCCCATTTTTAGTAGCGGTCTGCATCACTTTTCTATTTATAGGTTGAGGTCTGTAACACTTTCCTATTTATAGAACGAGGTCTGCAACTGATGATTTGATTGCAATTGGCTGTTAACCCTTTCACCACTGTAGACCATAATGGACTCATCCAGATCAATGTATGGTAGAGTCTACTAAAGTTACCTAGTGGTGAAAGGGTTAATCGATGTCTGGGAAATTACCCAGGTCTATTTTTAGTAGCGGTCTGTAACACTTTTCTATTCATAGGTCGAGGTCTGTAACACTTTTCTATTCATAGGTCGAGGTCTGTAACACTTTTCTATTCATAGAACGAGGTCTGTAACATATTTACAGACTCTTCACATGTCGTCGCTCCTCCAATCAGGGCTGAGAATTAGTACCAGTTATATAATAAATCAAAATGTAGATCTAATCTTTTTTTTTTACACAATTCATACTACCCTGGTAACAGCCTACTAGATCTATCAGAAAACACATATTTATGCAAATAGTATGCTTAGATAAAATCATGTCATAATCTTTCATCAGGTCTGCATTAATTCGGACTGTTATCTTTTTTGGTGACTTTATTCGTTAAAATAGTATACAGTAGTGAAAATCTTACATTTCAGAGCAAAATCTCTATGAGTTATGAAAGACGGACATGACAACAAATTGTTTTGCTAAAAAAAATGGCATAAGACGAAAGTTTAAAAGCCTGTTTCTTATACCTTTGTGTTCACAATTCTTAATCGATCTACCTATGACTGGGCTTTAAGGATTTATAGATAAGTTATTCAATGGTTTTCAATTGTGGCGTCGGAACAAAAAAGTCAACAAGAACTGCTAGGCAACATCACAATATAACTGCAACCACAGTGCACTGCTAGGCAAATATTAAACAAGAGGCCCGATGGGCCTGCATCACTCACCTGGTATTAATCTCACACTTGTAATCTTAAAAGTGGACTAAAATACAGCTACAGGCAGAATATCAGTGTTTGATTCATAAGAACCTATTAAAAGATTTAAACATATGACGCCTGTGACCTTGAATGAGGAACAAGGACATTAGGTTGACAGTGGATCAAGGTCATTCATTTGAACAAACTTGGTAGCCCTTCATCCCAGCATGCTACAGGCCCAATTTCAGTACCCTTGCCCTTTGGGTTATTGAGAAGAAGTGGTTTGAAGATTTTACGACATTTGACTCCTGTGACCTTGAAAGTGGGTCAAGGTCATTCATTTGAACAAACTTGGTAGCCCTTCATCCCAGCATGCTACAGGCCCAATTTCAGTACCCTTGCCCTTTGGGTTATTGCGAAGAAGTGGTTTGAAGATTTTACGACATTTGAGTCCTGTGACCTTGAAAGTGGGTCAAGGTCATTCATTTGAACAAACTTGGTAGCCCTTCATCCCAGCATGCTACTGGCCAAATATCATCACCCTGGGCATTTCAGTTATTCAGAAGAAGTTGTTTAAAGTTTTTAACATATTTGACCCCTGTGACCTTGAATATAGGTGAAGGTCATTTATTTTATTTAAGTAACATATTGACGCTGGACCATGCCATAAGCTCCCTTGGCCCTTCGGGCAAGGTGAGCTAAAAATGACTGATAAGTCGGTCAACCCCACATAATAGTAATATGGCTTTGATTTTTGAAATCATGTGTCCAGCAGTAGATTTCGATTTTGGGCTGTCAATCTGATTAACATTGATTAAGATGCAAACAGATATAAGGGTCAAATTAATATGCAATAGATAAAGAATAGATAAAGAAACATTTGATTGAAAATGGTAGTTTACCTGTAGAAGAAAAGTTATCAATGCCTTCATTGTTAGCGTATTTTTTAAAAAGCTAAAATATAAATTCCTTTAGATCTAATATTGTTCAAAGGTACACTGTGACAGTACACCCCTGCAGGTTGGGGATCAGGAAAAGAATGCACCTGCTGTTACCCACCGCAAGTATCAAAGGAAGTGACTAATTTGGGGAGCCCCCTATAGAATTCGGGATTCGCTTTGGTACGTGTCCTCTATTTGGGGACACAAAAGCGACCCAAATAAATCTGCTGAACCCATTGCAATATTTGGGATCTTTATCTTTCTTTCTACTTCTAACTACCTTTTATTTCCTAGTGCCTTGCTTGGCGACACCTCACTTTTGGCCTTAATGTTGAGCGTTCGCCCAGGTGAGGAAGACAATGGGTTCTGTCCCAAGGCCAGGACATACCAAAGTCCTTAAAAATGGTATTTGTTATTCCCTGCTTAACGTTTAGCATTAAGGGAAACGGCAACAACTGCTTCACCCGTTGTCAGCATAATGTGACCGGGTGGAATGCTGTGCTGGGTGCATTCAGCATGGTATTTCAGTGAGATAGCACTATAAAGTCGGCATCAGATCCATGCTATCACAAGGAGGCAAGCACACGAATATACCCTGTCTCCTGCATACACACAAGCAAGCATACAATACACACATGGACGCACGCCCTTAAATGACCTTAGCTGTTAATAGGACGTTAAACAAAATTAAACCAAACCTGTGACAATACTTCCAAAATAACAGGGTTTTATTTTAGTGTTTTAGATAAAATCAAAAAGTTACAAATCTAACAATAAATCAGTTCCTAAAACCATCTACCCACATGCTGTTTCAGACATGTTAATTACAAACCAAAACTCGTTCTTTTCAATAGATTAAATTAAAAAAATAATAACATTTACTTATTCACCCCTGAAAACACATTTGAACTTTTCCAATTCAAAGGTTGAAAAAGTTCATTTTGAAACTTCAGGAGTGTATGATGTAATATTATGTGATAAAATATAGATATAATCCGAGTGTCCCAGGTACTGAGTTTTCATTTAATCTTTTGAATTCTAGTTTGAGTTTCAAAAGTATATGCCCTGACAATAGGTCTTCTGCAGAAAGAAATTGGCTATATATAGTACATTGGCTATATATAGTACATGTATTAAAACTCTTTTGAATCACGAATGTTAACTATCGTAGTGCTGTGTCACGACTGATACTGAAGTAAAAAGACGAAAATCAATGAAAGTGAAGTAGCACTAATGACTGTTACCAGAAATCGATATTATGAAGTAGCATTAATGATTCCTATACCACACCTGAATGTACAATATGCTGTACAATACAAAAATATAAAAGGAATTCAGAACCTATGAATTAAGCTAATTTCTTTGGAAGACACCATGAAATATACTTTGGGATTTATATCGTTGCACTGTGTGACCCTCCACATGTTGGTTACTATAATGAATTGAATATGATTGATAACATTTTCAAATGCATTGCCATGTTTTCACATCATGAAGACTCAAACCCTTATAGACATACTTAACTGATAAGATACAATTATATTCATAA